AGAGAGCATTGGAGTTGCTGGACCCCAGCTGATGGTCCTTGGGAGTCCTGCTGGGAGCTGTGTTGAGAGTGGACAATCCATGGGTGGCAAAGTGTGGAGCTGAGCAGATAGCCAAGGCCAGCGAGAGACTGAAAACAAGGACAACTGCCCAGCTAAACTGCCAACCTCGAAGGGATACGCAGGGGAGGCAGAATAGAGGCGAGTGGCAGAGGACAGGAATGCAGAAAAGTGCCAGGGTGTGGGCAAAAGCTTGGCAGGTTTTTATGGAGGGTTCCAGCCTAGGCCAAGTAGTAGATTCAAGGGCTCTGACCCAGATAAGACCAACTCAGGTCCCCTTCCCCTTCTTTCTCACTCCCTGTCCCCCATTGCCTCTGGGCAAGTGGAACTTTATTGCCATGACAATACAAAGAAAGTCTATCAATGATTTGATATCTAGAGCTTGGAAATAAACAGCTGCATGGTACCGATTTTATTATAGAAAGCAACGTTTATATAAACAAAACTGGGCTTAAAACTCATTTGGCAAGAATTGAATATTTTCCATTTATTCTAGAGACATTTGGAGAGTGCCATGGCTGTGGTGGAAACAGATAAATAAAGCATCATCACAAGATAGAATTAATTAGTTGCCTGAAATAATCTCGAAGCTGTAAGTGAAATATCCTGTCTTTATCAATGCTGGCATTCTTTTCTCAAATCAGCAGACTTTGGAAACCTCACAGACTTTTGACTCATTTCTCTCCTGTGCACTGCGAGAAATCTCATTTCTACTCCCTAATCCTAGTCCTTGTCACTTCACTCTTGAGTTTTAGCAAAGTCTTTGGGCAGCCTTCTTAACTTCCCTCCACCTTACCTTTGTACAGTGGTCTGTTGTCTATACAACCATTTATTGGCTATACCACAATAAATTATATTGAGAAATATATCTTATTACATACTACTGGCTTATTCTGTTAGTCTTGAATAACCAACTAGAATGAAGAACCCACTAATGGACAGCAACCATGTCTTCACATTTATATTTTTTATAGCACCTAATGTAATGACTGATGTGTGGTATGTGGCTGAAGGAAGTCTTCCATGACCTAGATCTGAGTTAGATACCTCCTGTCTACACAACTGTGCCATCCTGCTGTATTCCAGGCACATTATAAGTGCACTACAACTGGCTGCATTATGTTTGTTTCTTTTTATATCCCTATAGACCATAAACTCTATGAGAGTAGAGTCTACATTTATCTGGTTCATCATTGACCCTCTGGTATCTCATCTAGGTTTTGACATATATGATGTGCTCAATAAACATTTTTAAAATTGATTGAATAATTAATAATTAAAAAAATGTTTTTGGTGGTTAGTGCAGTTAATGTAAGATAGTTAAGGAGACTGGGATGAATGGACCAAATAGCATCCATAGCATCATAACGTGTTGGGTTGACTTGGCTTTAGTGACAGTAGAAGAACATAATCTAAACGTTATAATGAACTAGCATTTGATTGTATATGCAACTATATAACTTTCAAGTTATTTTATTTTCTATACTGTTTTAGTTGTCTATAAATTTCCATCTCCTGGAGTGCAAAGGACAGAGTTTTTTTATTTCTACATATCTCCCTCAGTTCCTACCTCAGCGAGTGTTTCTTGATTTGACATCATTAAATGTAGTTTTAAAAGAGCCTGTGTTCTAATGTATCTGCCTGGTGCTGAACATCTGTTGCTTCCTAACAAGTGCTGTATTCATTTTAATGGCACCGGGCACAGAGGTAAACAGAGCCTTGGCAGGCCTTCCATAAGGGAAACTGTGTTTGCTTCCTTCATTAATTACCAATGGAGCATTAAGACATGCGTTCCCCCGTGAGCCAAGTTGGATAATTCCTAGCACTTAATGCCAGGGTGCTTTCAAAAGTTGAGACACGTATTGACACTGGAGAGCATGCCCTATAGCAAGCACACCGGTGGCTACAGTGCCAAGATTATACAAAGCTTCAAATACATCAATACCAAGTGTTCCGATATGTCTGTTTAACCTTTGCAGTTGTTGGGTTAATGTGGAATAATAAATATGTATCCCAATAAATACCTCTGAAAGTAGTTACCACAGTATGAATTGGACAAACCACCAGAAAAATACGGAAAGGTTAAAAATAAAAGGATGGTCGAGGATTTACCAACCAAATACAAATCAACAGAATGAGAGTGGCAAGGTAATCAAAGAAGAATGAGTCAAAGTTTATGATTTGGCAATCAATTTTTATGTAGCAGCCAATTACTAATACAATTAAAATGAAGATTTTATAGCCTTGGACATATCAACCAGGATAGAATCAAACTGAGAAAGTGAAAACAGTAAGTAATAAAAGAAGAGACTGATAGTCACAGATAAAATATGAATTAAGGACATAAAATAATATAGTTAACAATGTTGAATACTTGGCTCTATTCAGATGTTTATGGATTTTATAAAATATCTATTTTAAATGTTCACATGGAAAATTTCCAAAAATAATGATATGAGAGTCTACAAAGGAAATATCATTTTTTTAAATGCAGAAAGATTTTGCAAGCTACCCACTCTCATCACAAAGCAATGAAATATAACATAATTGTAAACAAAGTAAACAAATAATCCATCCTCTTGGTGGTGTCTGAATTTGGGGAATAGAGGAATTAAAGAAGGTAAGATAGTCCTTTCAAGGTTAAACTTCAGTCAAACAATAAATGAAGACATAGTGTTGTAAAGCCGCTTCAAAGAGACAATATGATTCCTAGGACACTGAGGTCTAGCCACAGTCCTACTGAATATACTAACATTTCCAAAAGAAGAAAATGTATCAATCCGAAGGGGAGCTGGTATAGCCAAAAAAGCAAGTGTCAGTGCTCATCCAGGGACAAGGGAGCCTCATCCAATTAGACTTAAATAATCTGGCCTGTTGGCAAAACCATCCTTCTTCTTTTTTTTTTTTTTTTTTTTTTTTTTTGCCCAGGTTGGAGTGCAATGAGGCAGTCATAGCTCACTGAAGCCTTGAACTCCTGGGCTCAAGTGATCTTCCTGCCTCAGCCTCCCAGGTAGCTGGGATTACAAGCATGAGCCACTATACCCAGCAAGATGATACTTCTTGAGAAGATGGAAGCATGGAGTCATTTTCATGTGATTTGGCTCTAATTTCATGCACACCAAGGCACCTTTTGATGTTGAATTGGCCTCTCATGTGTAGGTCTGCATACAGGATGGTTGTGCATTAAGGGAGCTGTCGATGTGGGGCTCCTGTGTCCCAGTGGAGTTGACAAATATGAAGTCCTTCTAAGATACGGTCTGCTCTGGTGCTAGAAAAGGAAGCTTCCTGAACCTTATAGGATGTTAAGGCTATAAAAAAAAAGAAAGAGTACACAAATTAACATGCATCGTTATATATAGTAAATCAAGTAATGCAATTTAAGTTCGATCTCATTCACTGCTGTGTCTTGGTGCTCAGAACAGGTTTTGGCGTGTATGAGGTACTAAAATATTTCCTAAAGGCATGAAATAAGTGGGAAAGGTTAGAATTATTTAACAAGTGCTGGTGGGTTAATTGGTTAACTATTTTACATACACTAAAATAAATAACATATGAATTAAAGAGTTAATTTTAAAATAGGAAAAGTAAAAGAAATATCCAAATGTTAGTAGTATTTCTGAATGGGCAACAACTTTGTAAGTTTAGAAGGACAAGAAGGAATCATAAAGGAGAATAACAATGACAAATCTGACTATATAAATATTAAAAACTTATGTTAGCAAAATATTGTAACAATGCCCAGAATCAAAGTCAGATAGCATGGGAAAATATTTGCAGAAAATGTGATGGCCAGAGTCCTGATATCTTTATTACATAAAATGTGCATACAAATTTATAAGAGAAAGATTAAAATTTTAAGAGCATAAACAGAACTCATAAAAAAGAAATTAAAACTAATGAACACATGTGAAAATATTTGAACTAATAATCAAAGACATTCAAAATAAAATAGTAATTTTAAAAAATTTAAATTAGCAAAGAAAATGTATTTCTATAAAACCCAATGCTGGTGAAGATGTTGTAAAAATGTTATTCTCATATTTTGTTGGTGATATTTTATAATTTGGTACCTCCTTTTTGGAAAAACAGTTTGGTAATACAATATAGAGACTCATAAAAATGTTTACGGCCTTTGCTCCAATAATTTGACTTCTGGGAATCTATCCTAAAGAAAATTAATCCAAAATATGGAAAAAACTAAATGCCTAGAATAAATTGAGAAACCCTAAAAATGTCACAATAGGGGAATGGTTAATATGTCATTGTACAGACACTGGATTAAAAAACTACACAGCCATTTATAATTATAGAAATAGAGACCATGCAGCCAAATGGAAAGATGTTTGTGCTTTAATATTAAATTAAAAAATGAATAAATATTTGTGTATAAAAAGATATGCGGGGGAGAAAAGACTGGAGTAAATATGCCAAGTTCTAAGTGGTTGAGCTAGAACAGCAGGATGACAGTGGATTTTTTTTTTTATCTATCTTTTTTTCATAATGTGCTTTCAGCCTGTTGTACCTGGATGACAGTTGCCTCTTATTCTCGCCCCAAGATCTTGCCCCTAGCTCCGGGGACAGCTTCCAGGGCTCTGGGCACCTGTGTCAGTGCCACTCAAGTTCCAGCTCGCCCAGTGAAGCCCTCCCATCCCAATCGCCCAGTGAAATTCTACCCTTTCCATGCTCCCATAATTCTGCATTCACATTTCTATTATAGCACATATACAGTTGTCCTTGTATGAGATGATATGCATACAGTGTGTGTCTGTTTCTGTAGCTACATTTCTAAACCTCTAGAGGGCAAGGGCTGTTTTATTTTATTTATTTATTTTTTCTTTTCACAGCACAGAGCACAGTGCTTTGCCTGTAGGGTAGGCCTGAATAAATATTGGTTGAAATGAACTTAATTGCACTGCCATGGACTACTTCTGATTCCCTGGCAGGTGGAGCCCATGAAGGACTGCAGCACTTGGGCCCCTTTGGCAACATCCCCAACATCGTGGCCGAGCTGACTGGCGACAACATTCCTAAGGACTTCAGTGAGGATCAGGGCTACCCAGACCCTCCAAATCCCTGTCCTGTTGGAAAAACAGGTAATGGGCATGCTCTTGGGTTCCCAGGGAAAGCAGAGGCTTTGGGAGGAAATTACAAATTTGAACGCTAGCTACAGATATTCCTGGAAATTATATTTCTATTCTGATGAGCCCATATGTATTTGTAAGTAGATGGGAAAGGGAAATTTATCCTAGAACCTTTGTGTGAATTCTGGTGTTCCCGCATACCCATATAGGAGTCCCCTGCCACGGCTTTACCTTGTTTTCTATCTCGAACCTTCTTTGGGAACTGATGCTCTTTTCTGTACTTGTGACTCTTTTACTAAAAAGGGAGAACAATGTTTTTTCCTCTTCTATGATACAACTTCTGTTTATTTTTAGAGCCTTTGGAACTGGTTAGTGCGTGGATTATCCATGCCTGTTTGTTTTTCTTACTTCTCTCGAATATTTTAACTATGTCACACATTAACACCTAATTAGCATCTATCCTAAAATCCTGTTTATTTAAATGCCAGGAGGTAGCGTGAGAGAGAGGGGGTTCAGGAAGGTGAGAAATTGGTTAAGAAAGAAGGAAGACATTTTCCATGCTACTCATGTATCACTCCCACTTTCCTATCCTCCAATGCTAAAAAGAATGGTGAGTGGGCTACACTTATGTTGGGCTTCGAGCAGCTTACCTCGGTGATGGCTCTAGACTCAGACTACCTGAGTTCGAACCCAAAGTCAACCTATGTGGCCTCAAACAAGTTACTTAAGCACTTTGCACCTCACTTGTCTCATTTGCAAAATAGAGGAAAGACCAGGGTTGGAAAATGGCTAGGAAGAAAGACCAGCTCAGAGTTTGGAAAGCAACAGTCTCTAGGGGGGTCTGGTTGGGCTGATTAAATATAATATAATGCAGTGGTTCTTAAAGTGTGATCTCAGGACCAGCAACAGCGACAGCACCTGGGAACTTGTCAAAATGCAAATTCTCAGGCCCTACCCCAACCCCAAACCTATTGAATCTGAAACTCTGAGGGTGGGATCCAGCAAGCTGTGTTGTAACCAGCCCTCCATGTGATCCTGTTTTGGGAGAATGGAAAGAGACCCGGAGTTTGAGTCAAGAGGTCTGAGTTCTAGTCTTGACTATATATAGCATGTCACTTCACTTCCTTGCATCACAGTCTCTTCAGCTGTAAAGAGAAGACACAGTCATTGCCTTAAAGAAACATTCAGTGTAGTTCTAGGTTATCCTGAGAATAGAGAAATACAGACCTGTGTAATCTAAGCAATGTGTGCTTAGGAGCTCCGAGGGGAGTGCAGTCAAGCTGGGCTGATACAGTTGGATAAAACCCCAACTGCAGACCCTTTCTTGTCCCAGGTTATCTGCCATTTCCTTTGCTACCCTTCCATTAAGCTAATATATTCCTTATTTGTTCTACCACAATTTGCATTCCAAAAAAAAAATCACTTGCTAAATTTAGCCTTTATTTGTGAGAAATTACTTGAAATCTGCCGCACAGAGAATCATGACACAGAACAGCACAGTTGAGCAATCCGAGAATGAAACCTTGCCTTCTCCTTTCCATGCACGCTCTCCTCTGAATCACAGCCCACTCACCCTGGATAGAGCAGGGGCGCTCAAAGAGTTCATCTCTCAGCCTTGGAGATAGGATGTGAATTTCAGGGCACATTTTCAGGCCCTAAGAAACGTTCAGTTCCCAGAGCAGGTTTTATGTCTGCATCTCAGTTTGCGCCCACTCAGAGGCACTTGAGAAAGCATTGTGAAAAGGTTATAAAGCTGCCATATGCAGACTGCCTGAACGCTCTTGATTTGGTATTCCTTTCCTAATGTTAATTGCCGTAGATGTAAACGTGAGATAAATAGCTTAGTAAAAAATCGGGGAGCCACACTGAGCCACCTTAGAGATTTGTTCAGAATGCCAATGGCTTCCACACCAGCTTCATGCTGCTGAGAGTTGAGAGGCTTCATGCTGAAAGCTTCTGGAAGGCTTCAGAGAGGTCTCAAGAGCTGGACAACCTGGCTAATTGTCAATAGATCCCCTTTCAGCGTTGATTTCAATGCCTCAGCATCCCTTTGAAATGAGACCCTCTTTGCTTCCCCAAGCCCTGCACAAAATTTGCATTCCCTACTCTGTCCCCTTTTTATAGCTGTCTAAAATGCATTAGAGATGGGGAAAAAATGACTCATTTTTAGAGCATCGTGCCTGGTAATGATAGGGCTTAGGTAAAAAGCAGCAGCCAAGAGGGAGAGCCTTGTTTGAATGGAAGACATGTTTTATTTCAAAAAGCAGTCATAGCATAAACTGTCATTTAAAGGGTAGAAAGGAAACGAAAATGTACTGCAAACCTATGAAATGCCAGGTATTCTACATATGATCCTCTATTCCTTAAGCAACCCCTTAAGGTAAGTATGTGATTATTCTCACTCACAGATGAATAAGCGGACTTAGGCTAAGATAACTTTCCAAAGGAACTAACCCTATCTATCACATATGAGCTGGGATTTGATGCTTGAGCTGTGGTCGGTCTGACTCCAAAGCTTAAGCTGTTAGCACTGTAACATACAATGTCAAGTACTGTCCGGAGATTGTTGCTGTTATATAATATGCTTTCTCCAAGAAGCTGAAGTAGTTTCTGAAGAGTTCACCCAGGAGAAAACAGAGTGAGTCATGAATGCGATGGAAGTATACATGTTAAAGAAACACTTGCTGTTATAACAGATAAAAAATGTTTGTGGCTCAACATAATAGAAGTTCATTTCTCACTCGTGGGAATCCCTTTCAGAGGTGGGTGAGGATGTGGTGGGGGTGGGTAGTTCGGCAACCCAGACTGTCTCTTTGATCCTTGGCATCCACAGGTGCTCTGGTGGGCAACATGCAGCCAGCAAACCAGCAGATGGGAGGGGGAGGGGAGAAGGAATAGAGCATGATATGGGAGGTTTTTATGGGCCAGGCCTGGAAGTGGATACATCACTTCTGCCCACATTCTATTGGCCCAAACTCAGGCATCTGACTCCACCTGATTGCAAAGCAAGGCTGGGAAATTAGTCTAGCTATGTGCTGAGGAGGAGATGGAAGTGGGTTTAGGGAACAGCCAACAAGTCTCCACACAGGAGTTTGGGATGAGCAGTCTCATCCAACAGGGAAACTGGGTCCCTGAGGGAAAGTGACGAACAGAGGCTGATGCGAACAGATTCTGACCTTTGGATGTCTAGTTGTTTTTGACAAATTATATCTTAGACTGATGATAACTACCTTGGCCTCAAAATCCTTTGGCTGTTTGCAGTAGATGATGGATGTCTAGAAAACACTCCTGACACAGCTGAGTTCAGTCGAGAATTCCAGTTGCACCAGCACCTTTTTGATCCGGAACATGACTATCCTGGCTTGGGCAAGTGGGTAAGTCCAATCTCAATTGTTAGTAGATTTTGCACTCTGGTGTTCTGAAGACACTAGTGGCGGAGACAAGCAATATGGGGGGCGGGGGAAGAAAAAATGTTTAGAAGCTGATTTTTCAGAAATCTCTGGTTGAGAGGGACTAAAGTGATTACCATCCCAATATCCTAGAACCACCCAAAGAGACAGCAACCTAACATTGACTACAGTCTCCAGAAGCTTCTACTCTGATCTATCCAACAGCCCATCTCATACACATCCTAAAGTTTCACCAGTGTTTCATGCAGCTCTTATAGGATTTTATCAAAAGTATATGATTTTCTAAAAAAAAAAAAAAAAAAAAAAACTGAGAATACTTGCAAATTTGATGTCTAGACTAAAAGGAGATGATCTCTGAAGATCAATGGATAAAAAGATGCTAGAATTTAGAAACAGAAATATGTAATTCCACTTTAGAGAAAGAGAAAAAAATTTCCAAGGTGCATAGCAATGAGCTTGCTGGTCAGTCCCAGCAAGTATGTATAGCTGTCAGGAGAGTTGTTTATAATCACTTAGAAAGAGAAATCATGAGAATTTGGCATCAGTCTGCTAAAAACAAGTCTTGCCAATCTAATTATACTCTTCTGTTTGCCAGCACGATTCATTTACTTGCCAGCTCGATGAGGGAAATGAAGTGGGCATGGTGCATTTGGATTTCAGCAAAGTCTTTGACAAGATCTTTTATGATCTCTCATTGGGATAGGTGGAGAGATACAGCCTAGGCAATAGAATGTCACCAAAAGGGAGCTTGTTAAAGAGTCCCTGTCAACAGGGACAGAGATTTCACATGGTCTCCTGCATGTCTTAACAATACCTCACTCCACATTTTTATCAATGTTTGTAATAAAAATATACAGAACACTTATCAGATTCTCTGGGGATGACACAAAGTTGGAAAGGATAGCACTGCATGACAGAGCTGGGGTTCAGGAAGATCCCAACAGGCTGGAACAGTGAGCCAAACAAGATCACAATTGAATAGGGATATATCTAGGCTCCTTTGGTTGGGCGTATGTAATCACATGCTGCAGCCACATGAGAAAAGTGGGGAAATACCTGCAAGTGTCACTTCACATATAACAGTAGGTGGCCGATTCGTCTGTGGAACGAGTGAATGAATGAATGAGCAAATATTCCAAACTGCCTAAGCCCTTGTAAGTCCTTCTAAGTCCTCCATCCCTCTCAGCTCATTTCTGGTAGCTTTCTGCTTCACTGAGCTTATCGAAATCTCAAACCTAAACTCCCTCCCTTCCTGCTTCACTGTTTTAGAGAAGGATGTCCCTGCTCGTTAATGTCCACTTTCAATTTTTTCAGCATCTTGCTTGAACATTGCATTGAGTTAATTCCCTCTGCCTTCAACTTACACACCTTTCCCATCTTCAAACAACAAAGGAACAACAACTCTAAGTTAATTTTGCTCCCTCCATTTTGCGTTATTCTATTTCTCGTCTTTTTCATAAGCAGTTCTGTTAGGAAGAATTGGTTTGTGGAACCATTTTCAAGCCTACTAGTCGCATTAAACATGTTAAATTCAGTAGAAAAACATCTATAGGTTCTTGAATAGAAGACTAAAATCACAAAAGGTTACCCTGGTGGCATATTAAAGGATGAAATGAAGAAAGAAGAGATTAAAGTGAGAAAGGAAATAAGAGAAACAATTCCAGTTATGAGGGCGGTGAACATCGTGAAGAAGGGTGAGAATTGAAGACATTTCAAAGGAGGAAAAACTAACTAGAATTTGTATATGATACAAATATAGCATGAGGAGAAAAGATGAAATATGTCAGGTTTATAGGAAATGGACGATATGGACTTTTCCTGTGAGAGCATTTTGAAAAGAAAGAAAAGAGGAACAGAGGGAGAAGGGAGGAATAGAAGAGAGAAGAAAGACAGAGGGAAAGAGTAGAAGACCACAGAGGAGCACTGGAAAGGGGTCCACAAGAGATGGGCAGAGTGTTGCCAAACAGAAGCAAGGGCCAGGTTCACCATGGAGCAAGTAGAAGATACTGAGCCTGCTCTGTTCCAGGCACTGTACTAGATGCCTGGTACATAGTAGTCATCAGTACACGGTACTGGTTTCCAAAGAGCTTATGGTCTTATGGACTTATGGTTGAGATGAATTACATGAAAATAAAATGAACCCAACTTAGGACTGTTCAGCTTCATGTTCTGGCTGTACTCTGTGGGTCAGGTACAATTACCTGGAAAGGTGGGAGACAAGGGTAGAGGAAGATCGGGCTGAGGACTGGTGTGGCTGATTGGTCCAGTTGCCATTGAGGAGGTCAAAGGCACTAGGAGGGCAGCACTGAAGCCTCAGGTGGGAAGGCATCCAGCTTAATTAGTAGGCTGGAAATGAGAGAAAAGAAGAAGTCTGGAGACTAAGAAATGTCTGAGTAAGGGCAGAGAGCTGAATTGGTGGTATGGCAGGGTGGGAGAGACAGAAACCTCTCTCTTTGCCACTGTCCTCACCTCTTCTTGAAAACCTTTATGGATTTCTCTAACCAAGTCCCACTCACTCCCAGCACTGCGGTAAGAGACCACCAACCCCTCTCCTTCATGCTCTTTGATTCCTTGTCCAAACCCTGACTTAGGCTCCTCTCAAGTCATTCCCATTCTGTGTCTTCATTTGAGCTAAAGACTGGAATTTAGGCCCATATGGAAAAGGAAAGTACTATTACAGATCAATGACCAGGACCAATGTTTACACACCTTTTATCATCTGTAACTATATGTTTGTTTAAACTTAAGTTTCCTTGTTTATTTTCTCATCACCCCCTGGCAATAAACCATGAATTGCTTGATTGTCACATGGAAGTGTGGATTGAGTGTGTCTTGCTTTTCTAAGCTGGGACCCACACACCTTCCTCAGTGTTTATCCAGAATGATAGTCTCGAGCTTGTCTTCAGCTTAGCCATCCTTTAAGTTGACAAAGTCACCATCTTTCATGATACAACTGCAGACAAGTCCCTGCTTCCTTATTTGCTAACAATGCTTCCCTGTTTTTGACATTAGCTGGAGCTGAGCTGCTTTTTTAGCGATGATTCACATATTTATAAATATCAGCGTCTGCCTTGTTTCCTGCGTTTCTTTCTCTTTGTTACTGCATCAAGACACATTTATTAAATGTGCATCATATGCCTTCCAGGCCCTGTGTTAGGTAATGGGAATACAAAGATGAATAATAGTTATAATTGTATTACATAATACAATAGTAAATGATAATATTTATTGAGCACGTACTATGTGCCAGACACTACACTAAATACTTTACCTCGGTTATCTCGTTCTATCTGTCCATCCTTATCACTCTCACTGTTACAGATGAGAAAATGAAGGCTTAGGGAAAATGAAGAAAATGAAGGCTCAACAGCATGGGGCTGGTGATCCACAGAGCTGGGATCTGAACCCGACCATCTGACTCCAGAGTTCTTTAAACGCCAAATGCATTCTCTGTCTTTTCATGGCTCATTGTTCACACTGTGTCCTGTGCAACGAGTCCCATCAAGGACTGGTTGCCTTTCAGACAACGTGTGTAACTGCAGCGCTGGGGGCTACAGTCACCCCCCAACCCTACATGCACACAGTTAACAGCTAAACGTTATTTACTTGGGTAGAAGTTGCCTGGGAAAGCAAATGTTTCTCCTTTCTAAATGCCTTTCACCCCTTTTCATCAGCAGCTGATCATCTCAGAGCCTGAGCCATGGGCGAAATGGGGGACAGGGACCCTTTCTGACTTCCTTTGTCTTTCATGACCTCAGCAGGTTTGATGAGCTTGGGTTTGTCTGGGTTTCTGTGCTATTAGACTTGAGTTGTGGGTAGGCCCTGCTTAGTGCTTTGCATTGGGAAGCACACGGTATCAGTTGGTTCCATGACTGCTAGTATTCACCTTACTAAAGTGAGGTTCACTGGGTTCCTCTGGGGTAAAATTATCATTTTCCCCTTTGAAATTAACAGTTAGTCTCTGGGAACATACTTTGAGACTGCAGAAATACTCTGCTTCCCATTAAACTTTCAACCAACAAATTCAGCATCCATCGCTGATGCCAACCAGGATCAATTATAACTAGGATGGTTGCAAAATGGTGATTCTCTTATTCTTTCTGCATTTACTAGCTGGCATTCTACTCTAAGCAAGTGTTTCCTCTGCTTCCCTATTTATTTATATATGAATGTGTTTATTTATTTAGTACAGTGGGGATTCATGTATTCCTATTATTATTATGTTAGTGTTCAAACTGTCCCAGATTTGGCCAGTGAAGAGTCTCTTCAAGCTGGCTTTTCTTTGCTTTTGACAGGATTCCATCTTTTTTTAAGCGCTTTCTTGCTTTCCAACCTAATTAGATATTCCGGCTCATTCATCCTTGTACTTTCCCTGTCCTAGCTCTGGAATCAGATATTTCTTCAAGAAGCTCCCCAGTTCCAGTTAGGAATGTGATTTGAAACCAGGTTCTGGGCAGTTGTCCAAAATCTTGATGACACAATGGAAAGCCCTTTGAAGGAACTCCTTGCTGCTCACATGGTTAACCACTCCCCAAGGAATCGACATGGACTGGGTATCTAGAGAAGTGTCTGGTTTCTTGCCATCCATTTTGTACACTTCTTTTACCCACGCTATACCTGCCAGTCCCTGCCTTTCAGCCCATACAATAACAGGCATGGGTAACTTTCATGTGGGGGTGGGGAAGCATTATCCTGCTAACCCTAACCCTAGCTCTTGGGGAAACACAGGGACCATCTCTGAGGGGAAGACTAGCCAGACTTCTTGCATTTTCTTGAATATAGGCCCTTATGAGTATCATCTGTCTCCAGATCTTCTAAAGGAGATTTAAATGATGCTGCCTTACCCCGCTGGTGGCACAGCGGAACTCTGCCAGGGCTGATTGACAGTCCCACTGCATGGTACCAGCACTCAGGCCCCCTGATGCTCCCTCCAGCTCAAGCGGCTGAACACGGTGCTACACATGAAGAAGCCACTGTCCTCGCCTCCTTCCCCCTCACCTGTACCTCCCTTCCCAGCTCTGGCGTGAACTCCCAGGACATTCTCTGCATCAAGTTGTCACATTCACTGAAAGGCAACCACAGACCAAAGAGAATGAGCCTCACAGCAATATCCTCATTCCCCAGGGGACTAACCTGCAAGTCTGCCTTTTCTCCTTTCTGGTATTAAACCAATCCATGCCCCGAGTGAGCAGGAGATAGAGGCTGCAGCCAGTACTGGCGTTTTTGGCAGCAGAAGCTCCTTCCCTCCTGGCAGGGCTTCCCTACATAGTTGAGGTTGGGCAAGAGATACACATTATAAACTGCAGGTGGGATAGATTTTAATGAACATGAAAATGATGAAGCTTATTTTGGCATTTGTCATTTTCACTTCCAAATCTACCATAAAGAAAAAACTCTTTATAACCAGACAGCTCAGAGGATGCAAGTGTTGTATAAACTTGTTCCTTACCAGAATTCTGTCATCTTCTTTTTTTTTTTTTTAGAATCTATTAATATGTTAGAGTATTTTATTTAGAGCCAAGTGAATCATCTCTTTCATATATTATTTTCATTCTGATTTTAAAAAATCAAATAAATAAAATAACACAAGTAAGGTACCCGCAAATTCCCTTCTCCCTTTCTGCCTCCAGGTTAAGTGTTCTGTCTTTTACTCAATAGAAGAAAAATAGAAATATGTCAAGCATGTGTCTGATATTGTAGAGCTCATTGAAGTCCACTATGTGTTTAAAATGCAGCAATATGTGGAAACACTTATGCAAACTGTGCTAACAGAGCTGCTTTCTCTCCCCACCCCCCGCCACCCAACATAACTTTCCTTTCTGCCAAGAAGTTTTTTTTGGCAGTTTTTAAAAGGTTCAATCTAGTAAAAATGTTATAGAACAAATGGTTTTCCAATTGTCTTGACTGGGGGCACTGACTTAAGCCACAGAAGGAATGGTTGCAGAAGTCAGAATGTCTTGTTTATTTACACAGAGAATTGTTGTTAATAGTCAGACACTACTCTAGAGAATAGTTTGTGTAAAGTTCATCAAAAGGGAGTTAGATACAAAAATAAATGGGATAAAATTGTTTATTTTAAACAAAGGCCGTTCAAAGTGACAAGATGCATTTCCAGGGCCCCTTATGTTTTAGAATGTCGCGTTTCCCTGTTTATGTGATTGTGGATGACACTGGTGTGCCTGGGGGAATGGCAGGGGACTTTGTTAAAAGCTGCACAACCACCAGCTTTTCCCTTGCGGCCTATCTTTCTGACACGACGTTCCTTTCATCTAGTTTTGTTTCCAAATTATGCGTATGCAGATAGCCAGGGTACACACCAAATAATGCTTTTTAAAATAGACATCCACCGAATTTAATCCATACTTCTGCATTTGTGTTTTCTTTTCTCCTCACTCTAGAACAAGAAACTCCTTTACGAGAAGATGAAAGGAGGACAGAGACGAAAGCGAAGGGTAACGTGGCGGAGGGCTGGGTTGCGGTTGGCACGCCTGGAACTTTGGGAGTGGGGCAGAGGACAAGCCGGAACCCTCACTGGTCGCAAAGTAGCAGAGTGGTCCTCTGTGATGAGGACCACACCCAGAAAGTCTGCCCTTGTTTCTGCGATGGTTTCCCCAAACTTTAGCACAGGATTTTTAGCAAAAGACCCAGTTGTGTGGTGATCTATCACCTCCATTCCATTCTGGGACTTCATCCACGGCATTGCCCACGTAAAATGAAATGTTGAATTTGCTTTGGGTTTCTGATGCATTTATAGAGACTTAATAAGTGATCCGGGTCCATCCTGCTAATGCACCGGAAGGGCCTGGCCACCTGCCTCTTTTGCCAAGCAGATGGAGGGGGAGAAAGCCCCGCTAGTAAAGTGCTATGTGACAGTAACCATGTTAGTTAAAATATACAAATCCAGGCTGGGCGCGGAGGCTTACGCCTGTAATCCTAGCACTCTGGGAGGCCTAGGCGGGAGGATCGCTCCAGGTCAGGAGTTCGAAACCAGCCTGAGCAAGAGCAAGACCCCGTCTCTATTAAAAATTAGAAAGAAATTAATTAGCCAACTAGAAATATATAGAAAAAATTAGCCAGGCATGGTGGCAGATGTCTATAGTCCCAGCTACTCGGGAGGCTGAGGCAGGATCACTTGAGCCCAGGAGTTTGACGTTGCTGTGAGCTAGGCTGACGCCACAGCACTCTAGCCCAGGCAACAGAGTGAGACTCTGTCTCAAAAAAAATATAATATATATATATATATATATATATATATATATATATACACACACACACATATATACAAATCCAACCATAAACCCGGGGCCACTGACTGTTTATTCAGAATAGCAAGTGGCTGGAACCTCACAACATTTGGGACTCTAGACAGTAGTAATTATGGCCATTCTGAATAGTTTTGCCAAATCCAGCCAGGGAGTGTTTTAAGAGGTGTGGATTTTCTGGCCTCAGCATTGGTCCTCAAGCCTCTGCAGCAGAGGGTTCCAAGCCCCTGTTCCGCCTGACAAAACACAGAGGACCCATGGGCTGATTTTCTATGCAAGAAGTAGAACATTTGTACATCTGGAAATAAATCTTCTTTTTTGGGAGAGTTAACGGAGTTATTAGGGGTTTTTCTCAGTGATTACAGCTTCCAATAGCAGCTGGTAACAGGAAGGGTCCAAAGGGTATAATGTGGTCTTGAGAGAACATCAAGAAATTCTATTCTAAGAGCTCGGAATACACATAATTTACCAGCAGGATGGCTTGAATATCTCCCCAAGGCACAAAAAGAACATTTCCAAATAAGATCAATGACTGACCCAAAATGAATAACTTAGCATGGAGCTTTAATTGTCCCTACTTCCTGGCCCACCATTCCTTCTGCACTGACACAGGAGACTGACCATGGGTCAAGATTTAGATCATTTTTCCATGAGACCAGTGATTACCAAAACTCAGAGTTCTGGCTAAGACACATGTTCTAAAAAGGTTTTACGTTAGCCTCAACTTTCTCCATGTAGGAAAGGCTTAGAATTTAGGAAAAGAAGGGTCACTTTGACCCAGAGATATCAAATTCGTCCTATTCTCCAGCATCTAAAAAGACCCATTCTCATGCCATTAAACCATGGGCTTCTCTGGACTGATAGGCAAACAGAAGTTCCCCACCCCTGGTCCCATCGTCAGGCCTCAGATACGGTGTTCCCATCTTGACTGAAGACCTTACCCACCCCTTCCAGTGCGTGAATCAATATAAAGAAATTATGTACTTGCTTTCTGAAAAATCAAGTCTTCCTCCAGTGAAGCTCACCATCTGCTATGGGTTCCAGAAGAAATCAAATGCAAGGATCCAGACCCAGTTGTTCTTCCAGTTGAGAAATGGGAATAATGTTCTCTGACCAAATCAAATTCTTGCCCAAGTGAGAAGATAAATATATAAGTGCCTTGAATTCTTCAGGGCATAATTAAAACCAATACCTATTATTATCACTCTTAAGTATTGTATTCAATACTAATAGTTAAACATTTATCAAAAAAGTTCATATGATTGCTCCTTTTTCTTCCCCATTAATTTTCTTCTCTCCCCCTCTAAACCTCCGGCATTTTCTAGGTCTGTGAGTAGCACCTTCTGACATGAAAGTTCCTTACCAGGAGGAGAGTCTCCCCAAAGTCACAAGCAAGCCTCAGTGGTTTTATAAGATTTTCTATATTTGCTCAAATCCAATTGAATTACTAGTTTCTTCACAAGTAAAAGGTCAATTTACCTTTAAATTCCTGCAAATTTTTCAACTCTTAAGCTGTAGCTTGTTAATATTTGAGATCTTATCTAAATAGTTTATCAACCATTTAATCCCATTTTTATAAACATGAACCTCTCATATCCTCTTTTAACATAATAGAATTTCTAGAATATGTTATTAATCAAAAATGAAATGTTTATGGTATAGAATATAGTTTTTCAGTCCACACTTGTTCTACTTACCCGAAGATTCTGATATGATCCTCTGGGGGTAGACCAGACCACTGTAGTTAACAAAAAGAATTTTCAGTATTTAAAGATGACTTCCCAGCGAGGTGCTGTCTTTTTGTGACATGTCACTTTTCAGATATGTCTATGAGGACATTTCTTACTTTGTAACTCTCACCTTGTTTGTTGTGATGCATTTTTGCAGAGTGAGTTAGACCCTTCATGATTTGTGCTTTTACCAGTCAGGATGTGGAAGGACATTTACAAATACTACACTCAGATTTCATTCCTTCTCTTTTGGAGAATTTCTGCTCACCTTTCAAAAGAGTCCTGGCAGGCCATGTCCTATGGGCACGAGAGACCCACCGTGAAACTGCCTCTATTCGTTCATGGGAACTTAGCGTGCAACAGAATTGCTGGTGTAACTACAGCTTCTTTCTTATATTTTTTGTTACATTATTGGAAGGTAACTTTAGTGAAAATCTTCCAAAACTTTTCAATCTTTTTCTGCTTGCTAAGACTATTTTGCAAAGCTCCAATTATGAGTTCAAATCCAAACCCCCAAAATAGATAAGTATTAGAGAAGGAATGCAGAAACCTTTATTCATTCAGAATAACAGATGAAAGAGATTTTAAGAGTATGAGTCAAAAACAAAGGAGACTTCCTGGTAACTTCCTTCTTTTCTTCAGCTTTTGAGTTTGACTTAGGGAAGGTGGAAATGACTGCTAGAGCCCCTAATAAATTCCCTTTAGTAGAATACTGGCATAGAAGAGTCAGTCACAGCAGCAGGATGATCTGTGACCAGTCGTCAGATGCTAACTCCCACTTGGCCCTACTCTGTCTTCTTTAGAACATTCTTCTTGTAAAATAATTTAATGCATTTCAGATTCCCTCTCCGACATAAATAGAGCCATAGAATAACAATTCTCTGTCATATGGGGTTTGGTATCTAAGTCAGTGGCGAGAGTTTATGGGTTAGTTCAACCTCAAATCTTTGCACCAAAAATAATAATTAAAAAAAAAACCAAAACCACATTGCATCCGATAAAGAACTCTACAGTTGTGTGAAAAACACAATTAGAAACATCTATCAGTCAGACAATGGTTCATACTCCACTGAGGCATCTGGAATAATCATTTGGTAGGTGGTAAGTACCACTGTTATCTTGTTGTTAACCCAATAGGCCAGACACAATTTTCATTCACTTTTTGCTAGGATGCTAGTATCTGACGTTCACATATAATACCAAGCCATATTTTTTTTTTCAGAGTGTCAATCCATACCTACAAGGACAGAGACTGGACAACGTTGTTGCCAAGAAGTCGGTGCCCCATTTTTCAGATGAAGACAAGGACCCAGAGTAAAAAGAAGATGCTGGGTGGAAGCCCACACCACCTGCTAGGCCTCCGTACTGCTTCTGTGCACGTGTTGTCAGAGCCCTGCGAAATGGCAGCATGTTTCTTATGTAGATAATTATGGATAAAAAGCAGCTGTATTTTGGTAGTGCATTGCCCTTCACACTGATGTCTCTGCTTTCTGCTAAATTAAAAGTAAGAGCGTTTTTGTTTTTTGTCTTTTTCAATGTGGATATGCAATGAGCACTAAAATTAAAATGTGTATGTCAACAACAATAAAAAAGCAAGACTACGAAATGCTCAGATTTCTTGCAGTTATTTTAAACTGGTGTTTGGAGCGGTACTGAATCGGCCAAGTCTATAAAAAGCTGGCATTTGATTCTGATTATGTAGTTCAGCCCTTAGGCGTTGTTACACACCCATCAAGGGGGAGGTACTCAGGAGGAGGAGCCGACACGTTTCACTTGGCCGCATCTTAATAAATATGTATGCAAGAATTGGCATGGGAAGTCTTTTCATTTAGAACATTATAAAAACAATTTCTTTGTTTAGTAGAACAACCTTATCTACATACATGATCTTATCGGATCCTAACAATAATGTTGTTACCAAATGGGGCCAGGGTTATCCCCATTTTATAGATGGTAGAACTGAGGCTTGTTCAACACTCCATTGGGAACATTCGGCAAAATCCAGAATGGGGAGACTCCACAGGACAAGTAACCTAGCTTTTTTCAACAAATAATGGCAGGGGGAAAAAAGGTGGGGAACTGTTGTAGATGATAAAAGACTTAAGAGATGTATGAACGCAATACAATGTGTGTATGGGTCTTATTTGTATCATGACTCAAATCAAATTAAGAAAAACATTGATCAGACAATTGGGGAAGTTTAAATAGTGACTTGCTCCTTGGTGCTATTTAAGTGTTACATAATACTATGGCTGTATATTTTTAAAAGAGCCTTTATCTCTTAGGGATAAATATTGAATTATTTATAGATGAAATGATATAATATCTTGGATTTGCTTTAAAATAATTCAGTGGTAGTGATGGGCATAGGGGTGAGGGGGGAATTAGGAATAAAGATTGATAGAGACTGGCCATACCTTGATAATTATAATTGTTGAAGCTGGGTCATGGGTACATGGGAGCTCATCATTTTTCTACTTCTATTTTTTGTGTGTATTTGAAATTTTCCATAATTAAAGCTTAAGAAGTAAGAGTAGATCATGGCCTGGAAATAGCAATGTTGGACTAAGCAGGAAGCTGTACTGGGTAAGGCTGTAGAAAATGTGAGGAAGCAAAAAGGGAGATGGGTAAAGAGAGCTCTCCCAGGGCACTGGGAGAAGGAAGTAGCAGCGGAGTCCATGGGAGAGAAAATCTGGTTGGTGGGTGTGGGTGGACAACTGGATGGTGAGGGATCAGAGTGGCTGGGAGGAGAAGGGGTTTTCATGGAAAAAGCAACAATCTTGGAGGCATAGAGAACGGGGATCCCCACCAGGCTGATAGACTCAGGGCTGCCCTTTCTGGGTGGAACCAGGGCCACAGGGCAGGATCATTACCTCCCGTCTCAGTCTACTGGCCTTTCCACAACCAAGAAATTGGTTGTGGCCACCCTGGAGATATGTGGAGAACAAAAGAAAAGCCTGCCAGGCACAGTAGCCAGAATGTAAGGCACCAGGTGCTAGTGCCATGGCCACTGACTCTGATTGGATTCCCATGTGGGCACAACCAGCGGGAGGGAGGCCACCCCCACCCCAGCATTACACAGCACGACAAGGAGTTTACAATGGCGGTCATTCTAAAAGTGAATCTCCTGTTTTTGCTTCTGGAAGAAAGAAAAGTAGGTTGCTGAGTATTTTCTGTAGTGGCCTACAAAGTGAGCCAGATGCCAGGTCACCAGGCTGGCATGGCTCTTCAAAATTGTATTTGCATCCAATGATGCAAAATGTTCCTGGGATTCCTGAAAGGACCAAGCTTGAAGTGTTTCTGCCAGGGAGTTGGGCCTGCCTGGGTTGGGGGACTGCCTGGAGGCGGTATGATCTTGGAAAACTGAAGCTGTCCACTTGATCTATAGTCCCACACTGCCACATACATGAAGTGCAGGATCATTCACCCCACACCTCCCAAGCCTCCTGGAACAGAATTCTATTCCTGTGGCAAGCCCGCAAGGAGCACCTTTTCCTATTTACTCAGCTAGACACAAAGGACACCAGAAATATCCTTTCCCCTCCTCTTTCCTTTGAGAAAGTATCTCAAAGGAGTATACTCAAAGAGATACTAAGCTTCACCAAGACATGCCACAGATATCAGCCATGGCCACAGGCTTAGGGCCTGGGGAATTTAAGTCTCTAGGTCCTCTATCTGCCACAGAATCCAACGGCCATCACTAAGGTGCCATTGCATTGGCCCAGGGGGACAGGGGAGGCAGGAGAAAGAGAACATTTATTTAAAATAGCTACATTGTCAGCCAGAGGAACTCAGTCCTCCTGGGGGGACTGTGCGTGTGGGGGGTGGGATGTGGCAGGAGGAAGCCATGATTGATCATTAGACTTACGACTTGGCTGGTGGGAATGGACATAAGAGAAAGTGAGAAGGAACATTAGTGGGTGTAGGCTAAAAATGGCTGAGAAGCACCATTTCTGGGGATTCTTTATGAAATGACTTACAGAAAACGCTGATCTGGGTGTAATGTGGGGAGGGGGCACTCTTAGGGGGCACTTTTAAGAGATGGGAAGGAGGCAGCAGTGAAATGAACCACCAGGTCCAATGCAGGTGCTCAGAGGAGCCCATGCACATGCGTTGGGAGCACAGGGGAGAGTCCACTGGAATGGTACGTACAGACAGTAAGGACCTGGGATGCTGAGTAGGGCTGGGACTGTGCAGGAGGCTATAGCTCCTCTTCCGAGCCCAGTTAACTCCACATCTGCAAAAGGTCCTGCTTCTAGACCCTAGTAATCTCATTATTACCACAAAAGGAAAACACAACAAAACTAGGCACTGCCCCTCCTCTGACACCCAAGAACCACAGCCTTGCTTAGGCAAACCTCACCTGGAGCCCTTTCTAGTGATGGAGCCAGGAGTCAGCGAACCTGATTTAGGGGAGAAAGACTTCTCGGCAGAGCATCTGAGCTGCAACGGGCTCCAGGGGCTCCCTGGCAGGTGGTCTCAAATCTCCCTTTATAACTCCTCCAAGCATTGTCTGAGAACCCCAAGGTACTTCGTCAGTCTGAAGGGCAGGACTGAGGGAAATTCCTGGAGTCTGGTCAGTCATTACTGGACTTCTTGCTACCACACAGCCCTGCTGTTGGAGCTTGGTCTCACGTGATGCCCAGACACTTACCTAGTGGGACGCCAGACGCAGACCTTGGAGCAGCTCACATGGGGCTCCATGCTTGGGGTATGAGGCTGAAGTGCCCCCAATTCACAGTCACAGGACGATCCAGCTCCGGGAACACATGGAGCTGCTTCAGCACGTGCCACCTCCTCTCCTGACCCCTCTCCCCAAGGACTAGCAGGAGGCTTTTTCAGAGCCTCTTCCAAAGCAGACTAGGTCCCAGGACGATGGCATCTTACCATGCTACACTTAAACAGTCAAAAGGAACCAGTGGCCTTTCCTCCACGACGGCTACGCATTTTGTCTCTGCTCCAGGTGGTCTCCCCCTAAACACAGGAGATGCTGGCATTGAAGGAGCCTTGCTTTGGGCACCCAGTTTCCTCTCTGCAGAGGCCGCCCCTGCAACGAACAGGAGGACGGCTGAGCGTCTCTCTCTGTGGTGCAGTCACAAACATTTCATGAGTCAGGCCTGTGCCAGGCAGGGAGACAGGAATGATCTGTGAGGTGCTCACAGTATAGCGAGCCTGATAGGGGGACAGGAGTTGCCCCACGGCGGGAACTGTGGGGTACGATGAGGACACAGAAGAGGGGCAGCTTAACCACAAGGGTGTGGATCCAGAAAGGAAGCCAAAAGGCCACCCTGACCTGAGTCTGGAAGGAATTTTTCAAAGCCGGGAGTGCAAATGGCAGGCAGAACATTTCAGGCAAAGGAATACACGAGCAAAGTCGTAGTGAGAGAGACAATGGTGAGTCTGGGAGTCCAGTTTGGTCACAGTTTAAGAGCGAACATGTAGGGGAGAGCTAAGGGACAAGCCTAGTAAGCTTGTGTCACAAGCGAAGATTGTGTCATATGGTCACACCAGAGTGTGGGGTTCGTCCTCAAGGAGATGGGAGTCCCAAAGGGATTTCACAAAGGGGAGGGGCATTATCAAGTTCATGTTTTACAAAGATCACTGGTGACGGTGTGCAGACCAGGTCAAAGGCTGTTCAAGTTTATAATCTAGACAAGACAGAACAGGAGGAAGGGGGCAAGAGAAATAGAAATACTGGTTCCAGAGCACATAGAAATTCCAGGCTTAGAGCACTGGGAGCTATTTGTAAAGCTGGGTGGACCCAGTGCTGGGTGTGTGGGTGTGTGTAATCCATCTCATTATTTCAGGACATTGACGGTTAACTCTAGGAGGACATGGACTCCAGCGTATCAGGTAGATCTTCCTCCCAGAGACTTTCACCTAGAAATAATAGAGTCAAGTCAAGCTCTTCCCCCACGTCAGGTAGCCCTGACTACTCTCTCGTCACCCTCCTCCGTGGGGCCTCACACATACTTCCACACAGTCGCTGGAACAGGGCATAATCATAAGCATTATTATATTTGCAGAGCAGGTTCTATAGATGTTCCGTAATCCTCCCTCCCTACGTGTTGTAGATGAAGCAGTTGAGACTGAGAGGTTACATGACTTAGCCAAGACTCCTCGACTAGTAAGTGGCAGAGCTGGAACCCGAATTTTCGTCTCTTGAACTCCACAGCTGACACTCCCCTGTGCAGGGCACCACGCCGCTACCCAACACTTATTGCTTCTTGTGTGTCTGCCGCATTCTACCGGGTTATAAGCTCCCTGAGGACTTAGACTGTGTCTCATTTTTCCTTTAGCCCGGATATCTTGCATAGGGCCTCACAAAGGCAATAACTGCTGAATGGATGAGCATTGTGGAACGTTTTAAAGAAGTCATAAAAGGTTGATCATCTTAGACTACGTGTAAAGAGGGAAACGTGGAATCACTTCTCACTTTGGTGGGGTTTGAAGATTGACTTTAAGTTGTATGTAGGATTCTCAAGTCATTTTTTAGAATCAGCCAGTAGAACTACCCCCTTCTCTCCTGAATCACTGCCCAAATGTCAGCAGTTCAGGGAGCGTCAAGGTGCAGAATTGCTGCCAAATACCTCACTTTGCCGCACGTCAAGGATGGCCACACGTGACTCATTTATTAGCGAGATAGAGGAGACCAGTGTAACGGCCCTGCTCCTCACCAGGGCAGATCTGTGGGCAGCCACAACCTCGGGTTCCGCTGCGGGTTTTCATCAACAGGTGCCTTTCTGACCATGGGACAGCCATGTGGGCAGCACGGAGGGGCAGGCCAGCCCTTGACTAATATCAAGCGCTAT